ATCTAAATTTATTTTATTAAAAAAATAATATTTAACTTATAAATTAAAAAATTATTTTGGTAGTTTTTTTTCTTTTTTACTATAAATATCTATATATAGAATATAAAATAAAAGATAGAATCTAGAAAAAAATACAGAAAATAATATAAAGAAAAAATAGAGTAAAAGATAAATATTAATCTTCAAAATATATTATAAATAGAATAAGATTTAGATAATCTTTAGATAGATTTTATATAAAAAGAAAAGATTTTAAAGTAAGTTGAAATATAGCAATAATTTAAAGTAGAAAGAATAACATTTAATTGATTTAATTTATTAATTTATAGTTATTTTTATAACTTAACTTTAATAAAATATCTTTAACAAATTTTAATCTTTAAATTATATGTAATTTTTAAGAAATTAATAGTTAAGAATTAAGTTTAATAAGCTGAAAGAAATAATAGTTTATTCTAATTTTAAGTAAATTTATTAATTTATATCTTACTATCTTAATATTCTTAAAATGATAAATATTTAAAAAGTAAAGACTAAATATGATATTGTTTAGTATTACTGAAATTATATTATTTAAATATAAGTATTAATATAATATAATTATTTAAATAAACTTAATTAATTAATAAAATTGTAAAATCATAATATATATTATTATATAAGAGAAAACATTAATGATGATGATCTAAGAAAAAATGATAATTCTAAAAAAAACTTTATATCCTATATATCTTCTATGTTATTTTTACCATCTATTTTTTTTATACAATATATTATTTTTATTTGTTTTATATCATTTATATTATTTATTTATTATATTATATTTATCTTATTTATTTTTTTTATTATATCAATAACTTTATATATTTTATTTTATATAAATAGAGAATATTTCATTTTCTTTTAATTTAGTTATATATCTAATTTATATTTTTTTTAGATAGTTTTACTTTAATTTTTCTAATATACGTATACAATATAGAGGGTTAATTAAGACAATACTCTTTTGTTATTATTATTAAATAAACTATCTAATTAATTAACACTCTTCTAAATTAATTATAAAATTAACCTTTTGCTTACCATTTGAACTATCGCTTATTACTTATAAGTACTTTAAATAATTAATTATAATAATATTTATTAGTAAATAATACATTTACATATTTAATGAATAAAATTATTTAATTATTAAATATTAATATATATTTTCTTTTTTTTAATATAATTGTTTATTTATAATTTTAGATGCTAGTATTATTAAAAGTTTTAAAATAAAAATTATATAATTTTAATTTTTTTACATTTACTTGAGCTCTGTATAAGCTGAGCTGCTTGTAAGCCAAATGAATTAGCTTATTTAAGCTTAGTTTAAGTCACTATATAAAATAAGTTGCAAGTTAGACAAGCTGACTTATATCATAACTTAGCTTGTATTATAGCTTATTAGCTAACATTTTCTTATTTAAAGAAAATAATCCAAAAATTTTTCTTTGAAAAAAAGCTACTTTAATTGTTATTTACTTAAAAAAAAATGATACCAATGACTTTTTCTTGAAGAAAAATAAATATAGTGATATTTCTTTTCAAGAAAAATATATTTGATAGTATTTTCTTAAAGAAAAATATATTTAAAGTTAAATTTCTTTAAAGAAATTTGCTTCTAAAGTGATTTCTTTAAAGAATTTACTTTTAGAGTAATTTTTTAAAGAAATTCACTTTCAGAGTGATAATTTCACTTCTAGAATGATTTTTTCGAAAGATTTCACTTCTAGAGTGATTTTCTTAAAAAATATGTTTAGTATTATTTTCTTTATTCTAGTGAAAAATATTTAATTTTATTAACATTATGCTACTAAATTTATATTTTAATTTGTAAAAAGAAAAATTACATAAACTTTTATAAATCTTAAAATACTAAGTTTTTTTAATATATTAGTCTACTATTTAGCTATTAAATTTTAATTTTTATGGGTGATGATAAAATTCATCTAATTATTTAGTAAATCAAACTTATAGTTTATAAAAGCTAAATGAAATCTTATAAATTTTTATATGTATTAAAATTAAAAAAGTATAAAAACTTGGTAACATATTATAAAATATAATAATTTTATTTAAATATTAGCATTAAAAATTTTTTAATAATATCACATAGTTGTAAAAGATCTTTTTTGTTATAGAATTAATGTACTTATAAAGTAATTAATTTTAAATTTTTTTAAAATAATTTAAATATTAAATGGATAAAAGTAATAGCAAAATTACATATTTATTAGGAAACTAAGACTGTTATTAAGTCTAGAATAATTTTAACTAAAAAAATATTGTAAAAGCCAATTAGCATTGACTTAATTATTGAGCAAGTAAATATTCAAATATTTGTAGAAATATATAGTCCTTTACTACATTTTAGATTATAAGTAACAATGCAAAAATAATGAATTATACCAATTCAAATTTATTAAAGAATAACTTTTCAAATATTTAATCAAAATTGTAGAACTATAAAGAAGAATTAAATAATATTAAATTTGAGAATAATTTTAATAAAAATGAAAATAAAATATCAAAAATTAATAATGAAATAATTATGAAAAATTATTTGATTTTAATTAAATTTTGATCATAATAATAATGATATATTAATAAATGCAAATTTTAATAATATAATAATAGTAATATAATAGTAATAATAATAGTATTTTTTTTTTTAATTTTTACTTTTCCATGATTTTAATTGTATTTTTAACTTTTTAACTATTTTAACTATTTTAATGCATTTCAACTTTTAATTTTGATGACCTTCAAATATTTTGACTTTTAGATTTTAATTTTGGCAGTTATACAGATTAGATATTATTTAACATATCGCATTACACTCTCAATTTTATTAATTAATCCAGGAATTTAAACAATTTTAATATTAAAAATATTGAATTACAGAACATGATCACTGATTTCTAAACGATAAGTATTATTTTTTACATTGTTTACATTAATTATGTGTTTATTTCTAATTTTAGTATTTATTTAGCATGTCAATCACAACTATAACAATAATTTTCAATAACTCTCTTTTGAACAAAATACAAATGGGTAAAAAAAAAGAGTTAATGGCTGAACAATATAGAGTAATTATTTATGGCTATAAATGAGGTGATTCATATTAGAAAATTATCAACAATATTTATTGTAATAAAAAGACTGTCTATGATACAATAAAGTTTTCAAAAATACAGAATCTGCAATACTAAAAAAACATTGTGGCCTAAAGTCACTTTTGATTCTAAAGTACAAGCCTCATTCAAAAAGTTCATTATACAAAATTCAAAGAATCACTGCCTTACTACTTATAAAATTCAGATATTATAGATTAAAAAAAAAGAGAAAAGTTTCAATTGTTACAATTCATTAAATCCTTAGAAAAGTTAATTTATATTCATATTTTGTCTGCTTTAAACCATTAATTTCTGAAGATAACAAAAGAAAAAGATTAGCTTAGACTTTAGAATGAAAAAATTAGACAATTGCAGAGTAGAATAAAATTGTATAGTCTGATGAATCAACATTTAGTCAATTTTTACAAGGTTGTAGCTTATGTGTGCGATGTGTACCAGAAGAAGAGTTTGATCCTTCTTGTTTAACTGCCATGGTAAAGCATAGTCCCAGTCGAATGTTTTGAGAATGCTTTTTGTAGCATAAGATGAGACCACTTGTTCCTCTTCGTGAATTTGTAAAGGGATAAACATATGCAAAATTGTTACAGAAACATGCTATTCTGTCGCTTTATAAGTTAGTTTCTCACAAGCAAGGAATTTTTCAAGAGGATAATGCTCCACCTCATTGATCAAAGATTGCTGCTGATATTCATAATGCCTCAAACATTCCTGTGCTACCCTGATCTGCACAAAGTCCTAATCTAAACCCGATCGAGAATCTTTGGAATGAAGTTGATAAAAAGGTGCGCAACTTGTCTAATCAACCTAAAAGTTTAGAAAATTTGGAGCATAAGGTAAAAAATGCTTGGCGTTCAATTCCACTTGAGTATATTCAAATTAGTTGAAAGTATACCCTATCGAATCCAAGCATGTATAGCAGCCGAAGGTGGAGCAACAAAATATTAAATTTTACTTTTTTTTTAATAAACATATAAAAAATATTCGTGACAAATAAATTTTCATTTATTCTAAAAAAATATTAACATAAATAAATAAATGTAAGAAGATTTTTAAATCGTTCAGAAACCTGTGATCACCCTCTGTATAATAAATAAAATTTTTTTACTTAGGAATTTATTTTTTTGATATTTCAAATGCATTGACTAATATGATAGTAAATCAAAATTTACTGAAACTATTTATTTCACGACATGATTCGTGATGCGATTTATATATTTATAATTACCTGGGGTATTTTAAGTATTTGTAAAATACCGTTTTCGTATTTTATTTTTATACAATAAAGAAATATATTTATAAAGATAATATAAATAATATAATAAAAGAATGAAAAATTTCATAAAATAACCGCTAAATATAAAATAAAGTAAATTGTCCAACATTGAATATTCTAATCTCAAAACCTATACTGGTTGAGAACAAACTCGCATGATTGTGGTGGTAAATCATTAAGAATATTATAATTGATGAGGTAGATTGTTCGATATCGGATAAATCGTCAGTTGTTTCGGTGGTTAGTGGGAATGTGGCTGTTGATGTGACGATTACTGAGGCGAGGGATGTGGTAGGGATGGTTGGAATTGCGCAGTTTCGTTCGGATTCAGTAGAATCGTTCTGTCAGAGCACAAAATTCATTATATAAGGTTGGTCTTTTTTTTACCAGTCAAAAAAAAAGAGGAAAAAAAAAAGAAAAACAAACCTGCCGGAAATCGGAAAAACATTGAGGAAATTCATCTAAAGTGTTATCCTATATTGATTAGAAGTGATCACGATTAAAAAAAAAAAAACCTTTTCTAACTTGTTAGATCAAAAAAAAAATTAACTTACGGGAACATTATCGACATTCTGCTGATTTTCATTGACAATCGATAAATTACCTGATTCATCATATAATGGTCCAAACTGCGTTTGTTGTAAGCAATCTAATTTTTCCTGAAGATGATTGAATTCGTCTTCTTCCTCAATTTGCTTATCACGTAATGCTTTAACGAAAGCAGCACGCTCATAAGTACAGGCTCTATTGGATTTTTTACAAGTACCGCACTCTGGTCGTTCCTTATTACATTTAGCCTTGCGAAATTGGCAGACATCACAGGTTGATGTCAATTTCACTTTCTTAGAGGATCGATACATTTTTTTACAAATGGAAAAAAATTTATTAATGTGGTTAATAATTATTATGAAGGAGGGTGATTATTTTTTTTTAAATCTTTTTTTTTTTTTGAAAAAGTTAGCTAGCAGGTATATATATACTGTCGGGACCACTTTTTTTT